AGACACATAATTCAATTCTAAGTTAGTGAAATTTTTGTTGTTTGCTCTAAAACTAACAAAAGATTACCTAAACATCTCTTTTAATAGTTCAAAATCATAAGAAAATTTTAAACCTTTCATGAATTTACAAAAAAAAGCCCAAGATTGACACTCATAAGTCTTAATAAATGTTTGTCCCCATTTCGCAAAGTAATTATCAAATTTAAAATTTCTTAATTATTAGTTGAAAAAAAATCTAATGATCAAGTGTCCCAATTAGAGATGGATAAATTAGTCCATGAAATTATGATCACACATCAAAGTTTAGGTTGATTATTAACCTATTCATTTTAGCCCCCATCAAAGTTTAAGCTAATAACAAATCCAAATTGATTCAAGAAAACTCTTGTCAAAATGTTTTCAAAAAGACATTTTATTTTATTTGATACATTATATAGTCATAATAAAGAAAAAATAATAATTTAATAAGATGCTAAAAAAATTAAAAATAACAAATATAACAATCATAATTTAGTAAAAGTTGGACCGATTGGGTTATGACCTGCCTTTTAGGCCATTTAAGCCCAAATAACATTTGGACGGGCCAATAACACGTTCATTTACTAACTCAATCATTTTGACCAGCTCAAAATTCAGCCCAACTTGCCCATTAACCATCAATAGTCCCAATCTTTGCCTAATTAAGATGGGCACAAATTTCAAACACACTTATCTCATGAAATTAGTAACAAAATCATTTTTTTTTTTCATTTTCTAACATATTACTGTATAATATGGACAATAAATATATTACACTTGGTAAAAACATATGAGAACGATCTATTTTAAGGGTTTGTTTTCCTTCTTGAGAAAAATCAAAATATTAAAGAAAAACAATAGTTTTATAAGATACTAAATTTTCTTAATGTATTAAAGAAAAATTTGGGTTATGATCTACATTTTATTCCATTTCAGCTCAAGTAACTTTTATACAAGCCCCATTCATTATTAGCTCAATCATTTTGACCATTTCAAATTCGAACCAGCCCATTCACTACCCATAGTCCCAATCATCTCCTAATTAAGATGGATTCAAACACACTTATCTCATGATATTAGTAATAAAATTGTTTTTGTACCATATTCTAACATATGACTACAATAATGGAAAATAAATATATTACACTTGGTAATAATATTATGAGAACAATCTATTTAAAGGGCTTTTCCCCTCTTAAGATGAGAAACAATTGATATAGAAAATTAAAATAAATCAAGATTCTTTATCCTTATTTTGCTTCGAAATTCTTGTCAATGGCTTCTTTGGATCAAATGCTTAATGAGTGAGTTTCTTTTCCATTTCTTTTTGTAACATCCCGATCATAGAGAGAACTAATTTTAGCAAGAACCAATTTGGGAAGAACTAAATTGAGAATTTTGCAAGTTAGTCTTAAATTGTGAATTTTATGTCAACTTCAAATGATCATAACTTTTATCACAGGATGAGTTAGGTAGCATATAAGGTATCAAATGAAATATCATACTCTTTCTAACGCCACCAAGTTTGCTAAATTTCAAGTTCGGATGAGGGAGATATGCCCATTTGAGTTCAGTCTGTTCGATTAAGAAAATTCATTCGAATTAAGGAGGGGTATTTTGGTCTTTTCCTTACCCCACTAACCTAACTCATTTTTAGTAATATTTTAGGGTTCTAAACTGACTTAGATCAGTTTTCACAATTCTAAAATACGCTTAGGGTTTTAGAGAGTAGATCAAGAGGAGAAAGAAAGGAAAAGATTCAACCGTTCAAGATTTTCTTGCAATCTTTGAGGAAATTCACCAAGAATTTGATCCTTACAAGGTATGTAAGCTTTCATAGTGATGAGTCCGTTCACCTTCACGCCAATCATAAGTTTCTTGAGTTAATTTCATCCATGACAATCCATGTATTGAAGTTCTTGATGAGTTTCTTGAAGTTTCGTTCTTAAATTGTTAATGATGGGTTTTTGATGAGTTCTTCAGATGAATGTTATGAGTTTGAGGGTTGTTTTGAGTTGATTTTCGTGTACTTATGTTGGGTATCGAATCTAACAGAGTTTGGAAGAAACCATCTGATTCTAGGTGAATTAGAGCCAAAAATCGAAAAGAAAAGTTCGTCGTGATGTTCTGGAAACAGGTTAGGGAGCCGCGTCCCCGATGCGCCAGCTGTAACACCCCGGAAATTCTATGACTTAAGTTAGAGCCTCACCTTATGAATAATGACTTAAAAATAGTTAAAATGATGTTTATAAACCTAAACTAATGTAATTGACTTAGTTTGGAAGAGTAAAAGTCTAAACGTCAAGAAACGACCACAACGTCCAGAAACTAGAGTAGAATGTGTTCTAGTGTGTCCTTAGGTTTTGGGCAGGTTTGGGAGTGTCGTATGATGGTATAATCTGGTAAAAAATTTTAAAATAGGTAAATATATGTTCCTAGGGTCAAAAAATTTGAATACGATGCCCCGGGGCCACCCTAAGGGGACCCGAGGAGGACCCCAACCTTAGCCAAGCAAGCTGCCAAGGTAACTTGCGAATTGCACTTGGAAGGAATAGGGGCGCATCACACACTTGCTCCCCCAAGGAGCAAAAAGTCATGTCACGACATGGTCGTGTCGCGGACTCTACTGTCTCGAAATTTAATTCCAAATATCTTCAGGGAACAGCTCCGCGTCGCGGACTTGTTCCGCGATGAAAATGCATAAATTTAGAAATCTATTTTTACTTCATTAAAGAGTCCATTTAAGTGAGGGGTATTTAGGGTACTTTAGGGGACATATATATAATGATTTTTAAGTCAATTTACCTCACTTTTATCACTCAAACACAAACCCCAAAGATCTAAACCAAAAAGTTCCTCCTTCTTTCTACTCCCTCTCTCTCTTCTCAAGAACTCCATTGAAGAAGATTGGAACTTCAAGAAGAAGACCAACTCTCCAAGGTTTCAACTCGGATTTTCATGGTTAATTCATCTACAAGGTATGGTTGCTTATCACTCTTGGGATTCCTTTCCCCAAGAGGCCTCTTCAAGATGAATTTCAAAATCTTCAATTTCTAGGTTTCAATCCAAAAACGTGGGTCTTCTTTCTAAAGTGAAATTGATGTTATAAGCTGACTTGATTGATGTTATATGAACAATTATGGATGAATTTATGTTGTATCGGTGGTTTCTTGAAGAATTCCCCATGAGACCCATATTTCTCCTTCTTTTCCTAATTCTAACCCTAGTTTGTGTTGGATATTGATTGAAGGCTATGAATTGAATGTGATGTTATGTAATTCATGTTTGTATGATGATTCTACCCTAGGTTATGTATAATTTCTATGAAATTAGGGTTGAGTCTTTGAATGAAGCCTTGAAGGCTATGAAGGGAATATGTCAATTGCTTATATTGATGTTGATTATGTTATTACTTCATGAATTACCTTGTATTATGTATTGGCTATGAATTGCTTGGTAATTGAAGTATGGATGTCCCACGAAGGGCAAGAAGGTATGAAGGTTGGTTCTTCTTTGAACTTAAGTATGAAAGGTGAATTACTTAGATTGTAATGATGATATACCTAATGTGTTATTGTGGTGTTGATGACCTAGTTTCCTCATCCTTAACCCTCTACACTTGAATTAGCTATGAAGTATGTATGTATATTATGGTATGATTGCTATATGATTGAAAGGTAGTTCTCATGATTGTAGTGTAATGTAAAATGAAAGGTTTACTCACTTGCTAAGTGTCTCTAAAGTGAAAGGATTGTTACTCACTTATGAACACAAATGAGTTATTATGGTAAGATATCTACATAAGGGTCTATTAAAGTCTAATGTGAACTTATGTGATGACTAAATATGATTACAAAAGGGAATCAGATGCTTAGCACCGAAAGGGCATGTAAATGAGATGGGGGTCTCACTTTTAGTAAGTCCGGCTCCCCACATGGGTTTCCTCACGTTTAGCAAGTCTGGATTACCTACGGTATGTGTTGTCTCATGAGATAGAAACCCCCACGTTTAGTAAGTTAGGGTTTCTAGAAGCAATCTCCCTGACCCTTAACTATGTGCCCACATAGGACTCTAGCTTAGTGGATCCACCTAGATAGCTATGTACGAATGGTTACTCCTTAGGCAAGTGTTAACCTTCTCTTTTCGGTGTGGGAGTAGAACACCGGATTCCATGTAGCTCTCATGGTCTATGTCGGTTATTGGAATATTTCCCTAATGTAAAAGTTAATGAAGGTATGAAAGGTGTGAACTCTTACTAGGGCTTTCTTAAGGGTTTCTACATAGTGTAAGACATGTATAGGACTTCTCATGCACATTGCACTTGTGGGATCCTAAGAGATGGTTGTAGTAGTGTTCTCTTATGATTATGATTGTTATGACTTATGTATGTTGAAACTATGTTATGTATGATCATTATGAATGTGGTAAGTTATGATGATATATGATCTTATGAAAGTATGCATAAAGTAGGTTGCTTAATGTGATACTTGGCTTTGAATAGAGTTATGGGGTTCTATTCTTTGCATTGCACTAGTATTGCTTCAGAGGTAGTTGCTGCCATGAGGAGCAGGATGAGTCTATTTGTATCTGGGTTGCCACTTGTCAAGTAACGATGGCAAGACAATTATGCTGATAGGAGACACAAACATAGCAAGGCTTATGATCCATGTGTAACTGGTTGAAGAGGATAGGCTTATAGATAGAAAAGATTTCCGGAATAAGAAGGCTAAGACAACATGAAATGAGTTCGGGCAGCGAATCGGTCATCTTTCCAACAAAAGCCAAATAGACCTGCTCCATCATCTGCTAGTGCACCTGCACCAAAGAACACTGATGGTAAAACAGAGCGTACAATTTATACCTTCGAAGATATGTTGAGGGAATGTGTCATAGACTTCAAAGGTAAATGGGCTGATCACTTGCCTCTCATAAAGTTTGCATAAAACAATAGTTATCACTCTAGTATCCAGATGGCTCCTTATATGGCTCTTTATGGGAGAAAGTGTAGATCGCCTATTGGTTGGCTTGAAGTTGGTGAAGTTGAGTTGATAGGGCCAAACTTAGTTCATCAAGCCATGGAGAATATGAAGATTATTCAGGAAACGTTAAAAACAACACAGAGTCATCAGAAATCCTATACATATGTTAGGAGAAGAGACTTAGAATTTGAGGTTGATGATTGGTTCTACTTAAATATTTCACCCATGAAGGATGTTATGAGATTTGGTAAGAAAGGGAAACTCAGTCCCTGGTATATTGGTCCTTATAGGATATCCAAGAGGGTTGACAAGGTTGCTTATGAGTTGGATCTACCTTCAGAATTAGCAGCAGTTCATCTGGTGTTCCATGTATCGATGTTAAATAAGTGTTTGGGTGATCCTTCACTCATTGTACCTACTGATAATATTGGTATCAAGGACAACCTATCATATGAGAATGTTACCATTCAGATTCTTGATCGTCACAAGTTGAGAACCAAAGAGGTTTCATCAGCCAAGGTCTTATGAAGTAATCAATATGTCGAGGAAGCTACTTGGGAGGGTGAGGAAGATATGAAGAGGAGACACCCACATCTCTTTCGTTCCGAAGAAATTTCTAACCATGGTACTTACTCTTTGTAAAGTACTTTTTAAGTTGATATACTGAGTTATGTAAATTGCATGTTGGGTGCTTGAGTTGGGGTGGTTAAATGCTTTCCCCCCTTATTCAACTTAGTGCGATCTCATTCGAGGAAAAATGTTCCTAAGGGGGAGATATTGTAACACCTTGAAATTTGGTCTGTTTTCAAGGTTTGGTCAACTTCAAACAACCATATATTTTAGAACATAAAGAGTTAGGTGGCCCATGAGGTATCAAATCAAAGGTCTTTTAAATCTCTTTCCAATGCCACAAAGTTTGCCTCAATATGATGTTTGAGTAAAAAGATATGACTGATTTACTGGAGACGCTCTAACTTGGTAGCAGCTCGGCGATGGCTCCATGTTACGGAGCGAATACGGACCTCACTGTCTGTTGAAAAAATATCCCGACTTCCATATAGTTTTATTTATATTTTAAGGGTATTTTAGTCCTAAAAACCCTCGGCAAGTCATCTAAATTACCCAAAACTCTTAGAAAAACCAATTTTCAAAAATTAAACCCTTTCATTCACTTCTAAATTCTACACTCAAGATATGGCTCCTTATGGGGCTCTTTATGGACGAAAGTGTAGATCGCCTATTGGTTGGTTTGAAGTTGGTGAAGTTGAGTTGATAGAGCCAAACTTGGTTCATCAAGCCATGGAGAAGGTGAAGATTATTCAGGAAAGATTAAAAACAATAGAAAGTCATTAGAAATCCTATACAGATGTTAGGAGAAGAGACTTAGAATTTGAGGTTGATGATTGGTTCTACTTAAATATTTCACCCATGAAGTGTGTTATGAGATTTGGTAAGAGGGGGAAACTCAATCCTTGGTGTATTGGTCCTTTTAGGATATCCATGAGGGTTGACAAGGTAGCTTATGAGTTGGAGCTACCTTCAGAATTATCAACAGTTCATCTGGTGTTCCATGTATCCATGTTAAAAAAGTGTTTGAGCGATCCTTCACTCGTTGTACCTACTAAGAATATTGGTATCAAGGACAACCTATCTTATGAGAAGGTTCTCGTTCAGATTCTTGATCGTCGGGTTCACATGTTGAGAACCAAAGAGATTGCATCAGCCAAGGTTTTATGAAGGAATTAATATGTTGAGGAAGCTACTTGGGAGGCTGAGGAAGCTACTTGGGAGGCTGAGGAAGATATGAAGAGGAGATACCCACATCTTTTTAGTTCTAGAGAAATTTCTAACCATGGTACTTACTCTTTGTAAAGTACTCTTTAAGTTGATATACTGAGTTATGTAAATTGCATGTTTGGTGATTGAGTTTGGGTGGTTAAATGCTTTCCCCCATTATTCAACTTAGTGCGATCTCATTTGAGGACGAATGTTCCTAAGGGGGAGATATTGTAACACCTTGAAATTTGGTCAGTTTTCAAGTTTTGGGTCAACTTCAAACAACCATATCTTTTAGAACATAAAAAGTTAGGTGGCCCATAAGGTATCAAATCGATGGTCTTTGCGATCTCTTTCCAACGCCACCATGTTTGCCTCAATCTAAGTTTTGAGTAAAACAATATGACTGATTTACTGGAGACGCTCTAACTTTGAAGCAGCTCTGTGATGGCTCCGCGTTACGGAGCGAATACATATCTCACTTTCTGCTGGAAAAATATCTTGACTTCCATCTAGTTTTATTTATTTTAAAGGGTATTTTAGTCCTAAAAACCCTTGGCAAGTCATCTAAATTACCCAATACTGTTAGAAAAATTAGTTTTAAAAATTAAACCCTTTCATTCACTTCTAAATTCTACTCTCAAGAGCTTCAAAAACCATTAAGGCTAGGGTTCATCTTCCAAGATTTTTCCTTCAAGTCTCTTCAACAACATTTTTCTTCCAGGTATGTGAGGTTTCTCATAGTGATGCCCTCACGCCAATCATCTGAATCTTTCATTAAATCGTCCATGAAATTGATTATGTAAGTATTATTGAAGAGTTCTTGAGTTTTAACCCCATTCTTTACCAATAGAGGTTTTGAGATCTTGAGGTTAGGGTCTTGCGAATGAGTGGTGTTTGTTGATAAAATCTGAGTGGGATTTCAATTAAATTGCATTGGTTTCTTTTAATTAAAGTGAGTTTGGAAGAGAAAGAAAGTAATCGGCCAACTATTTGAGTTCAGGGCCACATCGCGGAGACGCATGAAATTTCCGTACCTAGCCTATCACCTCCTTTTTGCGATGCCGAGAGGATACAGAGTCTTCTACCTCAAAAGTCTTTTCGTGATCAAAATTTTAATTCCCTCTCCCCGTCGCACTATAGATACATCGGGGTCACCTGACCTTTTCTCTTTCGTCCTTCATTCTGTATGTGTTCTTTCAAACCATACCTATTTTTTATTCTTGATTTTTACTTCTAAAGGCTTCGTTAATCCTTGAGAAAGTCTTCATGTCACATTCACATGTCTTCATTTACATTTTAAATTAAAGTAAGATAAGAGGATATTTCAAAGGTTATATTTCATAAACACTTAAAAGTTTCATATGTCATTTATAAATATGTACCTATGTTAATTATTGGACTTCAAAGATAAGTTCATAAATGCATGTTTTCAAGAATGTAAACACGTCTCATGTTTTGAAAAGTATTTCAAGTAATGTAAGAAGTTCATTCTTTGTAATGGGGGAATTGAGCATAAAGTTTCATCACTTATTTTGGGAGTAGTATCGACCACCGAGTTGGGTTAGAGTCTCTTATGATTCGGAAGTCCCATAAAACTACATAGCTAGTGTAGGATAGGGTAGCATTGATTCTTCATGCGACTCATCATTGCCTCTGAGAAGGCCAATCATATGGATCCATAGTCACGATATTATCATATACCCCGACAAAGTACAGGATGGCCCTTGCAACATGGGCGAAATGTTGTGCATTGCTAGGCTCATGGTAATTCTTGTCGGTTAGAGAAACTCCCCACAAGTAAAGTATATTATTTTCATATTGCTTTCATTGTTTATTATATTGTAACACTAAAATGGTTTTCATATATTTCTTCCAGTCATTTAAGCCCGTAGATTGTTTACTCTAACCTTATCAGTTACCAATATATTCAATGTACTGATGTCATTCGACCTACATCGTTTTATGATATAGAAACAGGTGCTCATGATCATCAACCGGTGATGCATTGAGGTCACTATTCATTCACAGACAGTAGTTGGTGAGGCATCCTTACTTCTGGGAGACCCCAATTTCATTTCAGTTTTAGTAGTAGTTGAGGTATCGTAGGTCTTGTTTCGACACCTATCTTGTATTGTTAGAGGCTTCATAGACACACTAAATTAGATGTGTTCCATTGTTTTCTCAGGATGTTTTATTTAACTTATGATTCATGTTAAGTGTTTTGTAAGACTGTACTTTTAAGACTTTCTTAAATGTCTAAGTGTTCACTTATTTTAACCTTCCGTGTATTATTTAGTGTCATGTAAGTCATGTACCCAGGCCAAGGGTTTTATTGGGGATCAGAGATTGTTCTCTAGTGCCAATTACGTATAGGGTGTAGGTTAGGGTTGTGACAATGTTACTAATAGCTATTCGACAATACAATGCATGTTTAGGAAATCGGTTGAATTGGAATAGATAGATTCGAGTACAAAGGAAAGAAGATTAATTGAATAATAAACTTGTATACACAAGCTGGCTATTGCATTAACCATATTGGTATTAAGTGTAAATGTGTGTATAAAGTTAAACATGAACTCGATTTTACCTCTTTTAGAGTACGAGGGGTCGAATAAATAACTACTAAAGTAATGAATGAAGTCTGGGATACTATGAGTAATAGTATTCTCAAATAAGTAGTGAATTCCTTCCAAATATGATTAGACTCTTATGTCGGGTTCGGAAAACCTTAAGGTTAAACTCTTCATGCTCACATATTGCACAAACTATTTGTTTTATGAATTGTGTGTCTAGTTGATGTTGTATTGGCTTGGGTTTTGTCTACCATGTGCGAAGTAGGAGATGTAATTTTGGGTCGTGGGTCTACTATGTGGACCGACTTGACCCAATCTAAGAAGTTTTTGAGAAGAGATAGGAACTAATTATCTCTTATTTTTTTAAAAAAAGGGGGAACCATTTGGTAAATAAAAAATTTCCCAACCCTTCCTGATAAAATGATTTCTGCCTTGACACTAAAAGATAACGTAAAAAATAATTTAAAAAGAGAACACAAACCAGAAGAGAATAAGAAAACTCAGAAAACTTTTTTGTCTGAAGATAAGCATATAGTTTGTGAATCATACTTTGTTTCCTAGTGATTCAAAGAAGGACTTTGGAGCAATCGTGTTAAAATAGCAAAATTAATGACTTTCGCTGCAAATACAAGGTACAAAACTCGTCAATTTTGCTCTCTCTCTCTATATATATACACATCAACAATAAGGCTAAACATAAATTGATACACTATAAGTGTGAACATACTTGTTGAAACTTCATTTGATGATAAAAATAAAAGTTCAACTATAGTATATATATACTACAAAAGACCAACACACACACACACACAAATTGAACTTACGAGTTTAAGAGAACACAAAAGTTTTAGATGCTTAAACTCTTAACTCCTCCATCGATTTTACAGTCACATAAAAAATATATAGTCAAAGTTGAGAATTGATATAATCATATGTCAAAACAAAACAACCAACAATTTCTTTAAAAATCAAATGAAGAGTATACGATATAATTATAGCTCTCTGATCTGGAGAATTTTTCTAGACGCTCATGGAGCAGATTTCTTTCTTTTGGAAGATGCACACATCTTTGTCGTTCTCTTCCTCTTTTCTTCTATGACCTCGGGGTCATTACTCGCTCTCATTCGTTGGTATCTATAGGGCCTTCTAGGGATGACTGCATTGCTCCCTCTTGAT